TAACTACTGTACCTACTACTTACATTCTCCATTAGGCTGCCTTTGTCCTCGCAATCCACACGAAATCAGCAAGTCTGTGGGAAATGCAGTAAGCAGCATAGTCTCAGATGCTGATGAGTGGATGAGCAAGCAAGCAAGCCTGGAGAAGTGACACAGATTGTCATGGTTGGAAAAACAATGTTGTCCTAAAGCTGCTGACTTTTGTACAGAGGGTGTGGACATTTGAGCTCTTTTTGAGCCACATAAAAAACACTGGACCAATACAAGGTAATTTTGCCTGGAGTTACACTACTGTTTTCACCTTAGTTACACTTGCTGTGACAGCAACAGACCAATTTTCTTACACTCTCTAGTTATTGTACGGTTTGAAAGTGGCCGCCTCTCCTCGTTTCGTTCCATGTTCAGATTTTTGCAGTCTGCATTCACCTTGAAAATAAGGCCTTTCGGTTTGTGCAGTATTCATGTGCCAAATGTGTGTAATACCTTTTGCCTTTTATATGAAGCTTGTTACAAGCCACATATCAGGAAAAGTGGGTTTATATCAAAATCTAGGAAGTAAAACAATAATCAAGGGAGGGGGGCCTTAACACAGGAGAGCAATGGAGAGAGCAGAGGATTGTTTGAAATCGGGCATGCACAGCGGCTCAGAGCTGTTCCGCCAGCACCTTGCAATCCACATACCATAGAACAGCTTTTTAGTTCATGGCTACTGTGTATATATACTCAGACTGCAGTACAAACCATGTGTAGACCTTTTTCACACGCCTATTAGATTGCATTTAGCTCTGTTATGGTCCTGGTAGGTCATCGCTGTTGTCCACAGAGCTTTATAGTTTCCTATTTGGGTGTTTGCTCTTTCATTACAGTCTGGCCCAGCAAAGAGAATTGTTTAAACATATCAGCCTTTTAAATCAGAAATAAATACATTAGGTGACAGGAGCACTTGGCAATTTTTAAATTTAATTTTTGTGAAATTGACTTTGCATTTTGTGTTTTAATTTGCCTGACATGAGGCATTTGGTACTTTGAATTGAGGCTCAGTCCTGGCAAAAATATGAAATCATATTGTCTCAGTAGCTCTGTTATAGCTCATTTGAGAAGGTGAAAGCCTGTTTTGTGTAAAAGATATTAGCCATCAGCTTTTGTGGAGTGTATCTGAGGAAGCAAAAATTCTGGGGAGACAGGCAGGTACTAAATGATACAGCAGAACAGGAGGCTATGAACAAACATCAGTTGCCTAATGTGTTCTGTCTGGTTCTCCATGGTACTCTGACAGTTCTGAACGACTGTCAAGCCATAAACTTCTCAGTCCTGGTTCTCCACAGTTAGTGCAAAGGAAACACTTTTCTCAAATGACTGCTGTTCCCAGTCAATGCAACAAGAAAAGCATTCAAAGCTCTGCTGTCCTTTTACGCCCATTTCTTTCCATGAGCCTTCAGTGATTTTCACCTGCTTAATGGGGTTTTTAGTTACCATTTAAGGGGTATTGGTTTTGCTTTTAGATTTTTTTAAACCAAATGTGAAAATAGCATTACATTTGATCTTTTTTTTCCCCAGTAATGCCTCTGTTGCTAAAAACACTGAAAACACTTGTGAGAAGTGGTGTTTTGTGGCAACTCAGAAAGGTGGCTCTTTTGGTTAAGCAGGTTTGTTTTGTTTTGCTTTAACATGGAACTATTTTTCTTAAATGATGCCACTTCCTGGAGCCAAATGCTAAAGGTCACCAAACTGGAAGCAGAAGTGCCATTAAATGAACTCTGTGAATGTCAAGTCAAATCGCACCTGTAGTTAGCACATAAAGACAACACTTAAGTGTGGGTTGATCCTCCCACATTTTAACTTTAAAAAAATCCTCATTTTAACTGTATTGTGTGAAATGTCTTGGGAAAGGAGTACAGTGTGTTTGTCTAGTGGGTGAGACTTCCCTCCCCCCCTCAGTTTCTGATGAATTTTTATTAAAGAATCGTGTTACTGTATGTTTTGATCTAGTCTGTTGGTGCTTCTTCATAGCACAAGCTTAAATCAAGTACTGAAAACAGTCTTACAAAGCTAAATGTCTGCATGATGTTACATCTGTTGTACCTACTGAAAAACTTTGTTTGTAAATGTACAGAAATAAAAACGTGTTGCCCCATTAGCATACTTCTTAATGTATTTCTTGCCTTTAGTGCAATGTGTGTTACTGCTGTGCTTTTCAAAATACCCTAGATACTGAAAAAGTGTAATGAATTTTTTAAAATCTCCCATAACAGCACTAACCATTTTTTTTTTAAAAAGGGATTCACTAGCTAAGCAGGGTGCTGTAACCACCAGCAGATGGCTTCTTAAGGTTGTGCTTCAAGGAAGAGACTTTGTTGCAGCTGAAGCAGTTTTGCTGCTCAACTACAAGTTCCATTTGCAGAAAAGACACAGCGTGATCTATGGGCCTGGAACTCAGAAGCCCAGGATTCTATTTCTGACTTGCTGCACAACCTAGGGCAAGTAATTTCACTCACCTGTGCCTGTTCCTCCTCCCACCCTTTATCTGTCTCATCTGGTTTGACTGTAAGCTCTTCGGGGCGAGGGCCTATCTTACACTGTACAGTGCCCCTCTTTTCTGGGTTTGAGAGTCCACATACAAGGAGGCTTGAAAAGAAGATTGTCAGTGTTGACTTGAGCTGGGGATAGACAAAGCATCTTTTTACAATAGGTTATTTCTGGGATCTAACTGTATATAGTAACATTTTCTGCCTTCATGATTTCAGTCAAGTCTGGGTCCAAAAGGAGCACCCATTCTTGGTTGCTCTCCCCACTCCTAATGAATTAGGCTACTAACCCAATTACGGGTCAAGCCAGCTGAATCTGCCTGTCTTTCTCAGATGTCATCCAGTGCCTTAAAGCTGAAAGATGAAGACCACATACAGTTGGACAGTTTTGGCTTGACTGTCACTGTCTTACGCTATGAGACTTGGGGCACCTAGATTGGTAGATCCCAGCAAATCCACAGATATCCACTTCATATCTATGGATATCCACATCCATGGCTCATTTTTTTGCTGATGCAGATACAAATTCTGGATCTAAAACCCTATAAATTTGTGGCTATCTGCTTTATAGCCCCATATATCCACATCAGCAGATGTGAATATAGATATCTGGGGATCATTTTTGCTAATGTGGGTGCAGATACCAAATTTGTATCCGCACAGGGCTGTATGGATTGGTGATTGTGTTGCCATCTCTACTACTGATTAGGGATGTTTGAGTGTAAATGACTAGCCATTTAACTGATAGGCGGATGCTTATTGGTTAACAGTATGTTATATACTGATACTTTATATACTGCAGAGCCCACAGCACAGGTAACTGTAACTGTTGAGATTTAATACACAATTTTTAACATCCCTACTATTGATGTCTGTGTTCATTTGCCCTGGTTTCCCAGAGGCTGGGAGCTGGTACTTTTACATCAGGAAAGCTAATTTGGTACATTATTGGTCCCCTCTCAGTCTCATCTTTTCCAAACTAAACAAGCCCAATTCCTTCAGCCTTGCCTCATAGTTCATGTTTTCTAGACCTTTAATAATTTTTCTTGCTCTTCTCTGGATCCTCTCCAGTTTCTCCACATCTTTCTTGAAACATGGTGCCCAGATCTGGACACAATACTACAATTGAGGCCTAATCAACAGAGTAGAGCGGAAGAATGACTTCTCATGTCTTGCTCACAGCACTCCTGTTAATGCACCCCAGAATCATGTTTCTTTTTTTGCAACAGTGTGTCACTGTTGACTCCTTTAGCTTGTGGTCCACTCTGACCTTTAGATTCCTTTCTGCTGTACTCCTTCCTAGTTAATCACTTCCCTTTCTGTATATGTGAAACTGATTGTTCCTTCCTAAGTGGAGCGCTTTATATTAGTCCTTATTAAACTTCATTCTATTTGCCTCAGACCATTTCTCCAGTTTGTCCAGATCATTTTGAATTATGATCCTATCCTCCAAAGCACTTGTAACCCCTCTCAGCTTGGTATCATCTGCAAACTTAATAAGAGTACTCTTTATGCCATCATCTAAACTGTTGATGAAGATATTAAACAGAATCGATCCCAAAATACATCCCTGCGGAACCCCACTTGTTATGCCCTTCCAGCATGACTGTGAACCGTTAATAACTACTCTCCGAGACTGACAACAAATGGTCTGGTAGCACTTTATAAATTATAAAGACCATTTGTTGTTTCTTTTCTGTAGCAGACTAACTCGGCTACCCCCTGAAGTCTCAGAGAATGGTTAGCCAGCCAGTTATGCACCCAACTTATAGTAGCCTCATCTAAGTTGTATTTGCCTAGTTTAGTGATAAGAAGGTCATGTGAGACCATATCAAATGCCTTATTAAGGACTAGGTATACCACGTTCATCACTTCTCCCTTATCCACAAGACCTGTTAGCCTATCAAACAAAGCTATCAGATTGGTTTGGCATGATTTGTTCTTTACTATTACTGATGGGTTTCTTCATAAAAACCTCCACTGATAAGAGATTCCACAGCCTACGTAGGCATTTTGTTCTAGTGGT